CCCCCCCCCCCCCCAGCCCCAGTGAAGGCCGCTCGCCCCCTCAGCGAGGCCAGACGGTGCCGGGGGAAAGCGGCGGCGCCTTCAGCCCAACTCCGCGGTGCCGGGAGCTGCCCCGCGTGAGGTGAGCCGCCGGCGCGGGTCCCCCCAGCCCGGCTGCCACCGGAGGAGAGGGGCTGTCGGGGGGTTTCTCCCGGCGGCGCCCGGCACTCACCGCTCCCGCCGCCAGGCCCCCTCTGCGCAACCGCCGCCGCGCTTCCGGCCCGGACGGCAGGCCGCGCGCCGGGCGTACTGACGTAAGGCGCGGCGTCAGACCTTCCCCCCCGCCCCGCCCCTTCCCCGCGCGTGGCGCCCCGTAGTCAGCGTTAGACGAGGCGCCGCTGAAGACAGAAGGGTTTAATGTTAAGATTTCCTGCCCGGGGAAAACTGGTACCGGCGAGGGTGACGTCGGTCACCGGCCACGTTGCGGCAGCGCGGGTGGAAAGGAAACTCGGGTGTGGGGAAGGGGAACGCGCAGCCCGCCCTAGCCCAGGCCGGGGCTGGCGCCCTTCAGGGAGAGGAAGGCCCGCAGCCGGGCGTCGAAGCCGGGGGGCCTGAGCCCCGGCTGCCGGTAGGGTCCGGCCATGGCCGCCCCCAGGTAGGGGAGGAGGTGGCATTGCTCCACGAAGTGCCCCAGCTTCCTCTGGTAGGCCTGCCGCACCAGCGCCGGGCTCCGGGGGTTGTGGCCTGCAAGAAGCGGAGTAGTCTGTTAGTGACAGCTTCGTGGAATGGCCTCACAGAAATTGTAAAGTGTTTTTATCCTTGATACAGATCATAGAATCACAGAATGGTTTGGGTTGGAAGGGACCTTAAAGACCATCTAATTCCAACCCCCCTGCCATGGGCAAGGGAGACCTCCCACTGGACCAGGTTGGTCAAAGCCCCATCCAGCCTGGCCTTGAAGACCTCCAGAGATGGGGCATCCATCCAGATAAAATGGGCATCCATCCAGATAAAAGTGCTCTGGGCCATACCCGTTGGTGCCGAACCAACAACAAAAGGCTGGTGTTTCAGAAGTTCCCAACTCTGAAAGGGTAACAATACTCAGATCAAGGCTTTTGTAAAGAAATAACAAAACAGATGCTCAGCTGCTATGAACTTGCCATCCTTTGGGCCATGAGGCAGTGGCTGATGTGTGTGATGAACTGGTGCTGCATCCCTGGCACAGCTGTTCTAAATGCCTTACCCATAAAAAATCAGGAATGACTGCTTTTTCAAAGGAGGAAGGAAATGTCAAGACCAAAAACTTTACAGTGAAGATAGTATTGTTTCTTTTCTTTCTTATCTCTCTGCCTTAAGTCGTATTTTGGTGTACATTAGTATTGAGTGCCAATCCTCAGAGTATTCTTTATTATTTTAATTGTTACACTGAGGCAAAGGGGAAGGAGTGATTTAAGACAGCCAAATCAGAACCATTACTTTTCCTGTAAATGGTACTTTATATCTCATTACATAATCTGGACAGCATGAAAGAACTATGCTATGAGACACTTCAGCCCACTAGCTTTAAATTGTAGACAACTGCATTTAACAGCTTCTGAGTGATTTTTCAAGAATAGCCGTACGTAGAGCTCTTGCAGGAGTCAAGTTTGAAGGGCACTAAATCACTCTAGTGATGTATGATTTCCTGCTCTTTTTTCCAGGAGTAAGTCCCTCTGCGTTTATGATTGATCACCTGTAACTTCTCTTCTTGGTTACTGAAAGCACTCCAGTATTGTTAGAAAAGCTGCAGGAGCAACTAAACCACTGTTTCTTGTCCCCTATTTAAATGTGAGATTAGAGTGTGGCATATGTTGAAGATGAGAAACTTCAGACAGAAATAGGATGTAAAAAATTTCCGAGGGACCACAACATGAAGCGCTTTGATCAAGTTTCTGATCAAGGACAATGTGACTACTCTGAGGGGACACACAGTAATAAAGAATGCTGTATTTGCAAAGGAGTTTTTTCAGCGTACTGGAATGCTGAAGGTTAAAGTTGGAAGCAGTTCTGCCCAGTATTAGAAGAAGAGAACTTTTTCCTGGATTCCTATGATCAAACTGTTTGTCACTGCATGAGGAGAAGAGATTTGTGCGCTTGTGTAACCTTTGCAGTTCATCATCCAGTGCTAATAATGATTTAATGATGCAATATATGAGCAAAGCTTTCCTAGCATGGACACTGTTACATTAGCAAAGCTCTGCTAACAACAGAATGAAAACAGTCTTTGTGTATGAAGCAAACTACAGTATAAAAGCAGTTTTGCTGGCTCAAGAACTGTACATCTATAAAGGGGCTTATCGTGTGCCTACCCTGTTCGGTGGTCTTCCTTAACAAAGCTATGCTAGCAAAAATCAGTGCTAGTCCAAGAAAATTCTGGAGCACTCTGGAAACTGCATGAGGAAACACAGGACATGAAGAACTTTTAAATGTCATTAAATCTCATGATGTGTGAGAGATCACTTACCTACCTACCTACCTATACTATTACCCTTATTTTCCTCCCTGGCCCTTACACGTTTCCAAGAAACTTGGCAGTGTGTACTTAAATCAGTATATGATAGTATGGTCCCAAGTTGGACATAAGAAAACTACCCAGTTGTGTTATCTGTATTGTATCAGCTGATTTACTGCATTTATATAATTCATTATTTTAATAGCATGTTACTTTACCTTTTAAATGGCAGGCGACAAACAGCAGAGCGGTTTTTTTTACACTTAGGAATGGAAACTTTGGCTTTAAGCAGCCTACTTCATGTAGAGCTTTTATTAGAGAAGTTGCTACTCCCTGAAGAAAGAAGAGTTTTATAAGACCATTACAGAAATCTAGAACAAAAACATATTCAAAGCCTGATCCTGCTACAATCCAAATCTAACAGTATAGGATAATACCGAAGCTGGTGAATTGTAGAAGATAATAAATGTATAAAATAAGGAGGGAAGTGACCAGGAATCATTTTTTTATTTCATATTCATGCCTCAAAATGTAACCAACTAGCCTTAAATGACTCCAGACAGGCTTGTGTCTATCTTGGTGTTAGAAACCAAAGCAAAATGTAATCTTACAAGATCTGATAAACAGAAGAGTCAGAAAATCCATCATACGATATTGTAGTTTATTATTCCCCTCTGATGGTCTTACTTGTATTTTTTCCACTAGTGCTCTCTATAATAAAATAAATATCTATTATTTTAAAGCTTTTAAAAAATTTCTTTTGATTGTAAGTACACAATTTTCAATTTAATATAATCCAATTAATAAACATAAGACTTGCATTAAAAATGAACTATACTGCGTGGGATATACTATACATTGCAAAATCATGTTTTAGAATAGACAAGCAAAAACTGGCCTGTTCAAGGTATCCAGCTGAAGGAAGTGCAGTGAGTAGTATTGGCTCCTTTATTGGAGGGAGTTTACGTGGAAGCTTCAGATTCCAGTACTTCTCTGGTGACCTAACAAGATAAAAAGTAAGCACTTTCAAGATATGTAAACCGTGTCATGATTAAAAATTAAAATGCATTTGGTATATCCACCTCATAAACTTCTGAAGTTTTTCTTCACTTTCAAAAATATATAGCTTATCTCGGTATTTTGCTGCATACTCGATGTTGCCAGGCACCAAAGCTTCATATCTGAAGAGTCAGAGCAAGAAAAAGTATTACCTCATGAGAAATGTAAAACATGATTTGTGCGGTGTAAATTCATGAGCTACTGGGAGCTTTCTGGTAATTTAGCAAATACAGGTCCTGCAAAGAAGTAGCAGTTGTATCCAAGTTTCCACGACATGACTGACAGTTAAAAAGCTCAAAACCTAAGAGTCTCTGCCTCAAATTCTGCATATTAAGGGACTTCTTTAGAGCTCTAGTTAAAATGCCAATGGCAGTTGTTCAGGAGATTAAGAAGGGACAGCATAGAATTGACTATTATGGTTGTACCTTGATGAGAAATTCCTGCACATTGAGGAAATCAATGGGACTTTATGCTGGAGCTTTATGGATCTCATAAACATTGTATACCTAGTTTTGCATCTACTAAGGTTTTGTGAGATTTGTTTTACCTTTTGATGGTTTATAGAAAACTCAAACCATATCTGAGCAGTCTTCAGCACAAAAGACAGTAAGCCAACACAGATCTTTCTAGAACGTGTAGCCATATGAGTTTCAAAAGGTTTACATTGATTTCCAATGCCACAGGCACAACACAGAGAATTGTAATAGCTTTTCCTGTCCAAACCCAGAACACTATTAAAAAGTACTTTGAAAGTATTTCCTCATTAATGGTTAATATAGGACACAGCGTCTGTAATTCAGATTATGAAAACTGCAGTGCTGTACCTCTGTTTTCCATCTAGGTAAGTGACTGGACAGTATCCCTGCATTTCAGCACTTATGGGGAATAAGGCCTTCACTTCTGCCGCAGTCAGTTTCTTTGGGAGCATGTCTGGGAGTGGGAGAGGGTGAGGCGCCAATGGTGGCACATAAACCTCTGGTCTGCTCAAGAATTTCTGTAGAAGAAAAAATTAAATGTTTTTCTAGTGAAAGCAGCGCTGTAAGACTGGTAGTCAAACTCCAGAGGACTGGCTTATGCAATTTAGATATTTGTTTCGTCTACACCTCTCTTAGTGTGCTGCTGGAATAAGTCATTTCTTTTCCAGCCCACTCTCAGTTGAAGTCACCGCTCTCCACCCACCACCTGTCACTATCCATTGCTATCATTAGCCACTCTCTACCCCCAGCTTCCCCAAAACAGATGGAGAAAGGAGGGAATGGTTGCTTTAAAGTGAATGTTTGATCTGTGACAATTTGTAAGAAGAGCTTTGCTTTGAGTGGACTCTGCTGCATTTTGTTTGCCTCGACGTTTGATAGCAGAAGTAGACAGAACAAAAGCTTGAATACTAACAACAGTTGGCAATTCCAATTACATATTTATTGTTTCTGTACGGAATCAAAGAATCTAACCAACAACGGTCCCTCTTCCCCTAATCCCCTCCTGACCTGCTTTTTGACACTTACGTCCAGTTCTTCCTGTGAAGCCATTTTGTAATAGTGTCCTCGAAATTCTGCAGCAAACTGCAGTGATGATGTTACGGAGCAGTCAACCAATTCGCCCTTCTCCGCGAGGGTGACGGGGCAGTACTGTCCAAACTCCCCCAGCCGATCCTGCAGCTCTTCGGGAGTGATGCATAAATCAGCAATGCCAGCTGCTTTTCCTGTTAATAAAAGTAATTAACGGTAATTTTTATTAATGG